ACCAGGTGTGTTACGTTCAAAGATAAATTAGCTTGACTAGAACAAGAAATCATGAATAAACTGACAAAAACAACTTGGGAAAACAACTTTGGTCGCTCAGTTCAACACTCCTGATCCTCATTTCCGACGTCCATCATGGCGCCTCGAATGATTAAGTGACATAGTTGCAAAGGGTCAATACTTAGGTATCCACTTTGTCATGAATGCTGTTTTAACATAAACAATGTAATATATTATCTGGAAGTAATCTGGCTAATGGTGCAAAGCTCCATGTCTAAGCATCAAATTACCACAAATCAGTCTGATTAAATTAACAATACTAAACATCTAATCATTTCCAGATCAATAAGTAATCTTATTGATCACATTATTCACTATCCACTTGATAGGTGACTGTTGATGTCAGACTTTTTAGTCCACCTGACCCGTGTGTGGGGGGAGAAGGGAGGGGTGCATGCGTGTTGACAACTTCAGGGAACTAAAGATCCTTCATAGCACCCACAGTAAAATACTTAGTGCCAACCCCTTCGCACTTGCAGAAAAAAAATTTCTGGAGCCGCCACTGGTTCTACCAGAGCTTTGGACGTTTGGATGCACACTGCACGGCAGGTCATATTACCGGTGAAGCATGCATGACCTACCACAGCCACCAGGGGGCCCCAAGAACAATTTTTTTTTTTTTCTGTTTGTCCATAAAATAATGATTTCTAAATACATTATCAAATATATATTATTGTAAAAACAAATCACTTCATAATGAAATTGTGTGTTTTTGTTATGGCATAGAAATCGTTACTTTAAAAAAAACAAAAAACCTGCTTCACCTAGGGAGCCCCTAGTGGTTCAGGGGCCCTAAGCGGCTGCTTAGTTTGCTTATGCCTTGGGAAGGCCCTGCTGCTGAATTTACGTGTCACTATATCTCATGATTTATGTAGCAGGATTCTACCATAGACATCTGCTGCTCAGAGAAAACCACTGCACATGTCTTGGAGTGCCGCGTGCGAGTGAAAGGGGGAGGTGACGTGTGACAGCGGTAACAGAAACACAATTTCTAGGTCATGTTATTGCTTTGATTTTAATTGGTATGTTTTTCATCCAGTGAAAACAAAGATGTTAACAAATAAACTGGACAGTATGCTGGCAACTTAGTGATATTTTTGCAGTTGTGGACTTGACCAGTCTTGAAATAAAATCCAGAGTCCCCAAATCCCGAGACAAGACCGAGACCAAATGCGGTGAAATCCGAGACGAGACCATCAAAAAGTGGTCTTGAGACCAAGATTGGTCTGGAGTACTACAACACTAGTATCAGGCAGAATAACAGTATAGCATAAATAATAGTTAGAGGATAGTTTTAGCAGCAGAAAATATTCAGAGCCTTTTTCAAGGAAATCATTGTTTTAAAAACAAAAATTGGCACTAAGACATTAAGGCCCACCACAATAATCAATCACACCCTCAGGATCCCTCTAGGGTTCCCTGCAAAGGGTTAGGCTGCCCAGGACAGAAATTGTGATCTGATGAAATAAGCCCAAAAGAACTTTGGTTAGAATCGGAGAAGCCTCAGCAGGGTTTCTGCAGCCTTTCACAGCCTTTCCTTCAGGACTTCCCAGTATTTAACTCCGTCCATCTTTTCATTATACCTGCTATCCTCTCACTGCTTAAGTAGTCATTTCCACAGCATTAGGTAGTCATTGCCACCACCACGTTACTGTGCGGATGCTTTATGTGCAGCTCTAGTTTTTCCACATCAAATGAAGCATGTAGGTCATCTCTAAAAGCTTTCATAAGAATTTCTGAATTTATTCACCTGGTCATTCCAGCGGAAATCAGGAGTGATGATGAGTCGCACACGTAAAACTGTGCGTGTTATTGGCTGGACGCTCGCCTCCATTGTGAAGGCAGGAATCTGGTGGACGCACTGCTTGACAGTTAATCCAATGTTGACATGGTGCAGCATGTGACCTGAGAAAACCACAACTTATTTACAATACTGAACATGCAGTTTACAATAAACATGTTTTTAAACATACCCATGCCTCAGTGTTCAACAGCTCATTTAGAAATTACCAGAAGAATATTTCAGTGCAATTATCAGTAAAACATTTACAGAAACAGTTCCATGTCTGATGGATGTATTTTGTGAAAATGGCGTTGTGTCTTTACCAATTTCATCCTTCTTCATTTCCTTCAGTTTGTCCACTGTAAGCCTCTTCTCCTCCAAGCGATTGAGTATGACATGGCTCAGGTTGGGGAACTGGCGAAGAGGGTGGGCAAAGCCCCACAGTCGCCTGTCGATCACCTTGCAGAGGTTGAGCAGTCGGTAGGTCATGGCAGGCCAGCGCTTCCTCAGAGCGATCTCGAACAAAGCTCTGACAATCCGAGCAGCGTTCTGACAAAGGGAATGATATCAGGAGTAAAACAAACTAAACCAACAGAACTACATGCACTACAGGACACTTTTCCTCTTTTTTTATTTTTTTAAGGAAGCAACAGATTTAACAGTAAAGCTGACAGTTGAATTACATGTTTGATGTGGGACAGAGGCAGAATGCAACTGTTGCAGGGTTCAGCATCCTGCACTCACATGAGTAATCATGTGCAATCAGGAGGAGGTCTGGCTTGCTTCAGATATGCAGGTGGCTAAAGCTGTACTCTGATGGATTGCTTGAGTAAGTTGGAGAGAGGAGGTCAGATGGTAGAGCTTACTGATAAAGTGCTCAGCTGTGGTCAGCTATGATTGATCTAGTCAGGTGTCAATGTGATCAGATTGTCTGGTGAATGTGCTTGTGAAGGAGGACCAGTGAAAGCTGATGCCTGAAGTCAGGGCAGATCTAACACGTCCTAAAAACCAGCCTGATAATCCTTGTTACACTACGCTGATCTTCAGCCATGTGCTGGTGTCCAAGGCAACCAGAGCAGTAATGCTGCAGATTACAGCTTTAAACCCAGATCTAATATTACTGAACTGTACTTTCGACTTTGTGAAATCCAGCATAAGACACATCCTGAGTCCCTGTGATTTACTGGGATCATTCTGGATGTTTTCTCTATGAAAATGTTTCTTATCCATTAGGAAGAAAACATTTCAGCTAAGTTTTAGCAGCTGAAACTTAGCTGCTGAAAGTATGTTTAGCTGTGGTAATTTTGTTCACCATCAAAACACCTATGGGTTATTTACAAAGAACAAATAGCTGTTCTATTCAGAATACACTATATGATTTAATTTTGTTACAGTTCACGTAAAAAAAAAAGTTCAGTAAAATTGGAATATATTATTAGTCTGTTATACATTTGTCAGTCATCGTGTCTTTGCCTGCTGGTGGTGTGGATTGCTTGGCATACCATATCAGTGTGTGAATGTGTGTATTAATGGGTAGATTAATGGAAAGCACTTTGAAGTCCTCTGAGTCGATAAAGTGCTATACATGCATATAACATTTTTTATTATTTTTTAAGGATTTATTTAGTTCTAGTGGCCTTTATTTGAAAGTGAGTTGACAGGAATGTATGTTGTGAGAGAGGGATGGTCATCAGATCAGGATTCAAACCTGTGACAGTAGCATAGAGGAGCCAGGAGTCTTGCACCCCTGTGCCACCGCCGCACCCATGTTTACCCTTTTACATTTAAATCAATCCTGCTAAAATCACATTACAGTCTGTTTGATTATAATCTATTTAAATGCCCAAAAGAAATACATTCCTGCTGTTCTATGACTTTGCCTTAACCTCTCAACTCTCCACTCATACAGGATGTTCTGTTGAAGAAGAGTGTTGTTCTTGCTGTAGAAATGGCACAAAGCACAGCTCTGTAAGTATGTGATGATCAAAACTTATTTATATTTATTAGATTCAGGAGAAGCTTCATGAGTCCACATCTACCAAGTTTCACAGAAGAGAGAATATGAATATAATGATGAAAGGAGGTACAACCTCAATTCCAATGAAATTGGACATTGTGCAAAACATAAATTAAATTAAATATGATGATTTACAAATCCTTTTCAACCTACATTCAACTGAATTACAAAGAAAAGTAATGTTCAAATGGATAAACTTTATGGGGCTTTTTATTGCAAATATGCCTGCAACACATAGGCAACACACATAAAAAAACTTGTTTGGAACATTTCACACCTGAACAAGTTGACTGAAAACCAGAGAGTGTCATGATTTTATCCCTACCTGTGCCACATATGACAGGTCTGAGACGAGTGAGAAGCTATCAACTTCTCCCCTTCCAATGTAAGTCTGCAGCAAAATGTTAACTTTGCCATAACTGTTCTCCACACCGCCCGCTGCAGAAAGGATGCAATGGTTTTGCAGCAACTGATCCAGCTCCTCCAACTCCTCATCACGGACCTACCAACAGACACTGCGTTAGTGGTGCTGACATCTAACGGGGTGAAGTTAGTCACAGAGTGCCTAATATAGTAAAGGTTTACATACATAAAAACAGGTAAAAATTTGGTATCATGTGCAAACTTCATCTACAAACAACGCACAATCAGGGCTGCATAGCAAAATGAGGAGAATCGAAGGGACTCTAATTTAGGGTGTCTGTTTTCATGGATATGCAAAGCATATGCTGATCATTGGAAGTGCAAAATACTGGGAAGAGGATATGCAAATGAAAGACTTACCACCTGCAATGTGATTTCCTAAACCTGAACCAGACTGCTAGATCTCTTTTTGCATTTATATTTAACACTTTTGAAAAGTAGGTGTAAGCAGTCATGCAGTGATGTCTGTGGTCACTGAGGAGAGCAGGAGGCATAGATACAATGACATGTCATTGCTTATCAAATATTTGGATCATTTAAAGAATATGATTAAAAATAATAATAAAAAATGTCCTCCATCAATGCCTATCTTGAGCAGCAGGATTACCAAAAAATTCCAGCACACCACCTTCACTTTATGGCAGCACACCATTATGTCTTGAGGCTCTTATTTTATATATATATATATATTATCTGCTGCATGCTTCACAAATTGTCTGGGCAGAAGATGTTGGCTTGGGGCAGATTAATGTAGCCACACAATATTTATGCAATTAAACCAAACTAAAACAAAACAAAACTTAAATGAACTTAAATATTGGATTGTTGGACCACATTAAACCTTTAGAAAACCTGAACATGAACAGCCACAAAAAAACCATAAAATAAATCGTAAGTAAATGTCCTGTGCACAAGATTTCCCCCTGCCTCCTGTAATGGCTTATATAAAGCATAATCATGCATAGGCGTAAATCCCCAGGAGGGGGTTCGGGGGAGTCTGGACCCCCCCAATCTTGAAAAAGTCTAGAATTGTCCCCGTGCAAAAAAAAAAAAAAAAAATTGAAGAAACGTTTGCATTTAAATAATATCAATATGAAAAGGCAAAATAAACAAAAAACGAAATAAATCTGCCATTTATCTCAGAACAAAATAAGAATACATTTTTAGATCCCCCCCCTAAACATCATTAGAAAAATGGTTCATTCCAAAGTGTAGGAGGAGCAATAACAGCCATAGACATAATAAGAGTAGACCCCGCATTGGCTGCTCCGGCGCAGGAAATACGGCGGCCATCTTGGAGCGGTATACCCTCCTACTTTGCTCAATCAAAACAGCAGAAGATGCCTCAGCACTGAGGGATATTGTTGTTCTGGTCGATGGATTATTGATGTGAGGGCTCCACAGACAACATTTCACAAGTAAGATGGACATATTATTGTGTATATATTGTGATTAGAATATTACTTTACTGTATTTATGTCCACCGGCGAGATACCAGTTAATATTAGCTACAGTGCTTGGTGTATTACCAGAGTTCAGCCCCGCTATGAAGGCTAACTGAGATTCTGTACATCTAAAAATAATAATTATTCTCTAACATTGACTTAGATTATCTGACACAAGGGCCTATATTAGAAATGAAACAATGTAACATATATTATAAAACTTATATTATGTGTTAAACATTCACCAACAAAGTTTACACTGGTGGTAAAGACTATTATTTATATGTAATTCTTTCACTCTGTCAAAAGTAAGATAGTTCCCAAATCTTCCGTTTTGGTTTTGAAGGTTTCATAAAGACACGATGTGAGGAAGAAGAGGGAAATATCTTTAAAGAGAGACGGATTCACTGCAGCACGGATGAATCTCACATCGGACTTTGGACTCAATCTCAGCTGCTGAATCACTCTGAAGCTAGAACTCGTCGGCTGAAAAACATATACATATATCTATATGTATATA